TATCGGACATTCAGGCAGGGAAATGTTGTTAATACTGTTTATAATTGTCGGACGTTTTCCATTTTCATAATATACTTATTGTCCACACACTTTTTCTGGACACAAATTGTGTAAAAACTGTCCCAAATTTCTGCATGTCCGAGTGCTCGGAAATGCATAACTTTTACACAGTTTTTAACGAAATATGTATAAAAGCGTGACTGCTGCCTAAATACACAATTACCAAACAGTAATCGGAGCGTCTACTCAAATACATATATCCACTAAAAATGACATTGGTAGTCATATGCAGGATTAAAAATAAGATCCATTAATTCTCCCTCCCTCTCACGCTCTCAGTCTGTCTGTCTCTTTCGCTGTCTCTCTCTCTCCTTCTCTCTCTCTATATATATATATATATTAAATATAACTTTGTATGTTTTTTTTTTTAATAATATGAACTTTTTTTTAATATAATCTTACTTAAATTTAATATAAATTATCTAAGTATGACTTATTTTTAATCTTTTAAATAATATCTTATTTTTAAGGATGATTATCATTGGAAGAGTATTTTTAAGTAGGAACCTAACCTTATATAAATAATTTTTTTTATAAAACTCCCTTTTCAGTCCTCTTTTATTTTTCGAATTAACACCTCATTTTTCATACAAACCCAATTTAATGTCATAAGGTTAATATCCGGGTTGAATTATATAAAACCTCTTTCCTTTAAGGCTAATACCTTCCACCTTCTCCTAACCACCGTCTCAGACATTTCATCTGACTGAAACACTGAAATGGATGAATTCTGTATCAATTTTTAGATGGTTGTCAAAGTTAAATTTCTAAATCCGACACAGACTCAGTCTATACACCGGGGTTGAATAAGAATGACGTAGTTTCCGTCGGTTGAAATAGATCTATTCCACACACCCCTATATGAGGTAATTTTGAATTTTGTTGTGTAATACACACACACACACACACACACACACACACACACACACACACACACACACACACACACATATATATATATATATATACATGAATTATTCACACAAAAACTAATGCAAAGGTTAATGATTTAAATGGCGAGACATCCATCATCGCAAACAATTCAAATAGTATACAAAAACCTCCGTATCAGTTATGAATGAAATGATCCTTGTTTATATAAACTTCTGCCGTATTAGTTCTTATTTTTACTACAAGCTTTCGTCTGTTCCTACAGACATCTTCAGGTATATAATAGATGTTGTTCTTGTTTTTCTCTTAGTAATAAGAGGACAACGAAAATATATGTATTGTTGTATCCGAAATGCTATTGAAAATGAGTTATTGGTTTTGGAACGCGCCAAAGCAACGCTGAGTTTGATTTTAAATTTTTAAAGGTTGTGCGTTCTTATAAAATATGGTGATGAACAAATTTTTTTATTGGTAAATTTTTCTGTCAAAGTGGCATGAACTATATTGTTCAATAATTAGAGTAATGTCGCACTTATTATCCAAAAGTCGCACTTGGATCAGTTACTTAAATTACGATAAACGTGCAATCAATTTACAAATACATGAATTATTCACACAAAAACTAATGTAAACTTATGCGCGCTCCAAAAAACAATATATATATATTATTATATATTAGTATATTTCCTTTTGCAATAAACCTCTCTTTCTTCCATCTACGCTCGTGTTGCTGTTCCTTCCTCTCAGTACCACCATTGTCTATTTGTAACCTTTTTAAGGATACAACATATATATATATATATATATATATATATATATATATATATATATATGATGGACTCTCCCGTCGGTTTCGACGTATGAGGTTCAAATCAACTTTTCCGTTTATTTAACCTTGTGTGTGAGTCGCAAGTGACATTTCAGTCCTGCTAGTGATTTGCAAAGAAGTCCACAGATTGTGCAAGAGTGTGGATTCTTGGAGTATATGGCTGGAACAGCAGCAGATATTTTATTCCTTTCCCTATTTTGACGAAGCTTGACAATGTTTGATGCTGCCTTGTTCTTGATGCCATTGTAGCATGTAGTCTTCCATTCATTACGATCAATTGCGATGTTCTCAAAGGTAGTGTGATTTATATTCGCAGCTAAGAGGTTACTCTTCACCTTGTCCCTGTACCTAAGCAAAGGCAGACCCACGTTTCGATGACCATTGTCAAGTTGACCCTACATGAGCATTTTTGGAATTCTGTTGTCTTGCATACGTAACACATGACCTGTCCAGCGTAATTGTGATTTCATGAGAAAGGACTCAGTACCATCAAGATCACACATGGTGAAAAGGTCTACATTTGCCATTCTGTCGCTTAGGTTTACCCCACAGATTTGCCGAAGACAGCCTTTGTGAAAAATATCTAATTGCTGAACTTGCTTTCTGCATAGTGTCCAGGACTCTGAGCCATACAAATATATATATATATATATATATATATATATATATATATATATATATATATATGTGTGTGTGTGTGTGTGTGTTTGTGTACGTGTGTGTACGTGTGTGTGTGTGTACATAAACAGTCTAGTTTGCTATTCAAACGAAGACTGGAAGGAGAAAAATGCATATATACTTTTACGGCCAATGTTCTTTCACACCCAGTAAAATCTCAATGACTTTGTTGCCTTACTTGGGGTGAAATAATTTGTTTCATCTTGATTTCTTTTAGTCATAATTGTGTCATTTTATTCAATTTTCTTTTTTTAATCCAGCTCCACAAAATATTTCCAATAAAGTTCAAGCGGTCCAATATGATGCAAAAAATACGTAACCGGCTGCCTAAACTTTTCCAAAAGACCGAAAAAGAAAAATCCTCAAGAACCTGCGACTTTGACTTAGCCAATACATTTATCCTTCTGCTAAGTCAAAAAATGCAACATCTGGCTCTCTCTAAGAAGATCCTTGAACAACAAAGACACGCCTATTACTTTAAAAACCGCAGACACACGCGGGACATGAAAGTTAATGACAGGAATTATCTTCAACAATGTGTCGGTGATCGCCAGTTGACAGGAGGACATAATTTTGAAAAAGGTTTCAGCCAAAGAGCTAGCCTTGTTTCTTTGCCACCAATTCCTCACACAGTTAATTATTCTTGGTTGTTCGATAACGAAGATAATTACAAATTGAACTGTTTCGAGCGAGCAAAAATCCGAGACCAGTGTCGTCAGCTGACCCTTGACCAAAGCGTCTTAGCCTACGAGATCTTCCTGAAAAGATCAGAAAGGATAATAGAACCTATGGATCTGCCAAAAGTGCTGGACGAAATACTGACCGTGTTACTGTCGCGTAAGCCAGTGCGCAAAAACTGTATAGAAGTGTTCAAGAAACGCATGGAAATGGCTGCGCCTGAACCGAGCGAACATAGCCAATCGACACAGGGATCTTTTAGTCCCAGAATGTTAGCATCTAAAGTGCGGCTTGCGAGAGCTTTTCGACCGATAGACGAATTGAAGCCCAATACGTTGCATAACATTTCCTTGCCAGTCGTCAGACAAAACTCGAAAATGAATGTTAAAGATTCCTTGCAAGATCAAGAAAGCGAACTCGGATCACAAACTTCAAACAGCCAAATAATGAGCGCCATCGACAAAGTCAGAGTTGTGTATGTTCAGAGCAAAGATGAGTGTCCGACTATAGGAAACATATGTTCAGTTCCAAGAAGATTTCAGTATGAAAATAAACAAAATGGATTGAATGACGGAAACCTAAGGAGTCCATCTCTTGTTCCTGTAGAAAAACAGTCAAATAATGAATTGAAACAGCCAAATGATGAATTACGTTTTAAAGATCGTCGACGCAAAGTTGGCAGGTCTCAAGTCAGAAGCGATTTGTCTTCATCTACAATCAGTGAATGTCTATCATCGAGGTTAGTATGATTGTTTAGCGCCATCAGTTGTTAATGATTTGAGTGATTTAAAAAATAGAGGCAGCTGATCAACTGAGATGCGACTAAATAAAATAATTTTACACGATTTATTTCCTCTGTATTTTTTTATGATAATAGGTAAGAAGGGTATTTTGTAACTGGTGTCGGTGAAGACTTGCCAAGATTGATTGGTTTATTTTTTACGACTTATCAACCTTTTGCAGGTTATTTAAAACCATAAAATATTTTTAGATTTTAAGAATTGTTTTGGAAATAATAATGATTTACTGTTACAAGTCCTACTAGTTGACCCATAGCTAGGGGTGAGAAAAGGTGTATGCATAACTTTTCCAAGGGTATTTGCTGTCAGCATGGCTGATGTTCGACTCCTGGAGAGCGACACACTGCGCCTTCTTGACCGCCCGTTTACAAGTGACTTGAAGTGGTACAACTATATTGAATCAATAGCTGCATCTACTGCAAGGAAAGTTGGTTCATTGTGTCGTGCCAGAAAGTTTTTCTCGTCAGAGTCCGTCTTGCAGATTTACAAATCTACCATTCGTCCGGGCATTGAATATTGTTCCTAGATCTGGTTTGCAGCTCCTGCTATTCATTTAGAGGTTATTGACAGACGTGACGTGGCTTCCCTCTGTCTTTTCTACAAATTTTTTCCTGGCAACTACTTTGACGAGCTTTTTTTTTTCCCTGGTACCCTGACTACATGAATTTAAGCGTGCTACTAGATTGAAATAGTTAAATGTACCCCCCCCCCACTTTCTACTCAAACGGTTTCTTTTCTTGCACTTCCTGACTGTGGAATTCCTTTCCATTTACATGCTTCCCAGATAACTACAATTTTCAAAAATTTAAATGCAATGTCAATCGCCATCATCTATCTTCTTGAATCCTGTTCATCTTTTATCCTTTCCTCAATCCTCCCTATACTCAGTTTATTCTCTCACTTTCACTCCATGTAACCTCCTGCGTACTCGTGGCATTCCCGCCTTGCTTGGGGTGAAATGATGAAACAAAAAAGTGAATATGACGATCCCAACAGGAATTCGAACTCAACTTTCCAATCTCTAATTCCGAGAGATTACCCATTCCGCACATCCATACTTATAGTATCTGGTATTACCAATCGGTCACCCATCTAGATACTGACGAGGCTGAACGTTGCTTAACTTCGGTGATCATACGGGAACCGGTGTTTCAAAGTCGAGCTGTGTTTTTCTTCGGTAAAAATGAAAAAAAAAATGTAAACAGATCAATAGAGCGACGACGTCCTTCACCGAATCGACGAGAATCTTAGTCATAGTTATTTTGATCACTAAGACTCGAATGGTGCGTTTCACTTTTTCAATTATATGTTGAATGTTGTTTGAAATTCTGATTATAGTTTTGCTTTTATTCCATGTATTATTTAATCGAGTATCCTTGTATTTGCCGTTTTAGTTAATAAAGTTTGGCTGATGTGCTATTCGATGTTTAACCTGCGTATATAACATGCAATAAATATAAATAAACAAATTTTAAAAAATGCGATGATAATTATGTTCGATGATTTTATTACACGAAGAACGTCGGAGAAATATCTGCTGAAGCATAGTAATCAAAACAACAACGATGAAGATATTAGTTTGAATAATTGATGCAATAAATCATTTCTTAACTTCAAACAACACTCAACATCTAATAATAAATTGTTTTGAAATCATTTTTATAGACAAACATGAACAATGTTAGCCTTAGTCAGTTTGAATCTCTTAAATTGGTTTGTTTTATTTCACTCTTTTTAATTTCCTTATTACAAAAAAGTGGGTTCCTCTGATTCGGGTCCAACATAAACAGAGCTGGGTTTTTTTTTGCGTCAGTTTTGAGCAAATATTTTGAGCAGTGGATGATAAGCTGCAATCGAATGCGGGACAAAATCCCGACTCAACAGGGCGACGAATAAGAAAAATATTAAGATAGACTCACTGTGTGTTTTTTTTCTGAGAGGTCAGAGATCATCCATGTTTCCAAAAAGGGAGAATGGAGAGAATTTCATTAATCAAATAGGCTTATTAGCTTTAGTTACTCAGTCATTGTTCACATCTGGTTGTTTACTTATTAAAGAAAACTGGAATAAAAAAAAGAACGCTTGCCACATTGCCGGCAGATTCATCCGAAAAAGATACACACAACAAAAGAGAAGAAACTAGTAGAAAGAGAAGGAAAAACTCCCCCCCACCTGGTATTTTGGCCAAACATAAAGACGCATTCATATAGAATTGAACTGCTGCAGAGTTGGGTAATATCCAAATATATTTGCAAATGGAAGTCTCATTGTAAGGCGCGTTAGCCGGGGAAAAGGTGTACATTGACATGGGGTGAGCGGGTAATGGCTGTGTAATAAGAGTCCATTTAAAAGCAGGTTTGTCGATACTGTTTGGTCAGTGGATGGCGTTTCAGACAATCATTTTCTGATGTTAAAAGACAGTGAAGACAATTGAATGATTAAAATGTGCGCATGCGCTGCAATGAAAATCAAAAAAGATGTTTACGTACAGCAGTTTGTGTGTGTGAGAGAGAGAAAGAGAGAAAAACAGGGAGAGAAAGTGATAAAGAGAGAGAGAGAGAGAGAGAAGAGAGATTGCATTTGCAAGTAAAATCGCATGACATTATTTTGTCTAACTTCCTCTCTCTCTCTCTGCGCATGTGTGTGTGTGCGTATTTGTTTTTATCCCGTGACCCGCAGGATCGTAGGAACACCATATAGAAGTGGTGTTTCTCGGACAAAGTAGCCTGACGGAGTACAACCCTCTCCAGGCCGGTTTTGAATTCAGAGTTTTTCCTTCTTCTAGACCGGTTGCCACCCAAGGCTATAGAACCCAGTCTGTCCTACTATTTACCCACAGATGTGAGGAGAAGAAGAGGATTCCTACCGTTCCCAAGGGTATAAGCACGTAAGTAAACATAATGGATCCGACTTAATCGAGTCGCTATCCATTGTTTCCGGGGTTGGATCGGAGTCCAGCTGTGCTCGTCACTCTACCTTCGGGCAGAGAGAATCCCTAGACGAAGCTATGTGGAAGGGCAAAGTCTCATCTCCGTTTTATACGGGAATTTTTGGCCGAGCCTACGGGCTCGGATATCCCCACTTTAAAACTCAGCTTGTGCCACATTTCACCTTGTGGGGAGTTTGATAAATATATCTGTAGATTCGTCCTTTTTTACCTATCACACCTAGTAACAGAACAGTCTATACCTTACGCCTACGTTCGGAAAACTTCGACCAATAAAAAAAAACGTACTAGGCAAATCAACAAATCTCATTGGTTAACGACACAATAATCTGAAAGTTTCACGTGCAAAACAAAATTGCGCCAAAACTTCTTTGAGCCGATTTTGGACTTTCAAAAACATATAAAAGAAAACACCGACTGACCAAGAGAGTCAGAGACGAACATCCACAGAGAAATTGCCAACATACTCCACGTCACTCGAAATCACGACTTTACCGCGCAAAAGTACATCAACGCTGACTCACTTGCAATTTAAACTCGACCAACTCTGTGAACATCAAATCGCAAACCTAAAACAACTTTGCTTATCCAAAGTGAACTATACTCACTACATTATTAAGTAAAAATCAACATTCGAACAATTCAGAAATATTACAGTCAAAGGTAGACCACTCTATAAGAACTCATTCCTAAAAACACTTAACATCGACATTTTTAATATTAATTAACACAATTCCAGAAAGACTGTAGCTGAACATATAAATACAAAAAGAGACATACCGAAACCTCAAATATAACACACACTTTGCCATAGTAACATATACCAAAATATCCTGTATATATATTACTTTTAATTGTATATAAATGTTTGGTTGGTTTCTAAATTGAATATGTCTTGTTTTTGATTGTATTTAAAATTCGTTTATTTATTTGTTTGTGGATGCAGAAAGTCATGCAACCTACACAAATTCCTTCTGATTCACTCAATTACAATTAATTAATTCTGCACATCCCCAACATATCCATTATTTCACCGTGTACACCCTCCACTTATTCTGTCGGTGATAAATATCATGGCATTATTTTTTTTCTTGAAAATGTGCATAGCACCGAAAGCTATATATTCTTTTTTTTTTCTCGCGTACATGCATACGTGGGTACTTGGTATTATGGTTAACAAGCCTGTCGTACGAGATCAATTACGACTGTATGCCCCATGATTCAGTCTATCGTCTGATATTAACCAATGAAAACAACGTAAACCTTAAAAATGAAAGCAATATATTAAGAAATAAGTAGGAATCATATATATATATATATATATATATATATATATATATATATATATATGAATTCAAGAAAGACATTCGGATTACTAACACAAAAACAGAGAATGTCTCATATAGAGAAAATTTAACATTGAAAAACATAAGGAAAAAAATTAGTTATTTTTAATAATATGTGGAAATCTCCGCCTTTTACCTGAAGACGGTCGCGAGACCAGAAACACGTGTAGTAAAATTATGGAAAATAAAGCATAATATTTAAAAAAAAAATCCACATTACAACCAAAAAACATTTGCGGCACCTCTCTTCTCGTCTTTTTAATATACACACTTTGCTCTCGTTGAAACCACTATAACCTCTTTCTTATATATATATATATATATATATATATATATATATATATATATATATATCACCATTTTCAAATCATTAAAGTCGAATAACGAAACGCTTCGGCAAGGCCTAAGAACTATTTTCCAATTGTCTTTTTTATCCAATTTGTCTTATCTTCAGAATTATAATGACAAGTTTAACAATATAATAATGGACTCTCCCGTCGGTTTCGACGTATGAGGATCTGCCAGCTTATTGATTCAGTTATGAAAGTTTATGCGATAATCTTAAGTGGCATTTAAGACCCGCTAGTGATTTACAAAAGAGGCCACATATGGAGCAAGTGTGAGGATTGTAAGATGAGATCACTGCTAGATTGGTTGATCTTTTAGATCTTGCTCTCGCTTCTTGAAGATGATTCAGAAAAGCAGATTGAAAATTACTGAGTCCACTAAAACACGTTGATCTTCATTCACAATATATATATATATATATATATATATATATATATATATATATATATATATATATATATTATGAAATTGACAAATGTCCGATAATTAACGTAGAAGCAACATATATATGGTATGTACGGCACAGTCTATGTGACGGTTCCGTGCAGGATGCAGGTCCGGTTCCTATCTGTTCCATGTTTAAATGCAATAATCAGATCATTTACATGGTTAAGCACGAAACAGATTGTAGACACACACACACACACACACACACACACACATATATATATATATATATATATATATATATAAATATATATAAATATATATATATTATGAAATGGACTAAGTCCGACAATTAACGTAGAAGCAATATATATATATATATATATATATATATATATATGTACAATCTGTTTCATGCTTAAACATCTAAATGGTCTGATTATGGACCGTCACATAGACTGATGTGCCATAACATTCAGCCACAGAGGAAGCGTCTGGTTGGCAAGGTCGAATTATGTATTACTATGACGCAAGGTGTTATTTTGCCTGGAAGAGAATGAAAAGACTTTAGTGAGAAGATTCAGAATGACAGACGAAGGCAATTACTGTTGCAATTCATTTTTTTAAGACTGTTGTTATCAGGGAAACAAGAAATCGAAAGGGAGTTCCACAGACGAAATTTTTTTTTTTAATCATTTCACTCCAAGCAAGGCAACAAAGTCACTAAGACGCAAGGTGTTACTGGGTGTTAGAAAATATGGGAAAAGCTATTATTAAGGAGAAAAGACAAAAAAAGGATTAAGGAAGATTGCATTTAAATTTTTGATGATCAAATTTGACTGGAAAACCAAGAAGCTGGAAGAGTTCCACATGTGATCAATGCGAAAGTCATGGAGATGAGAGTGGAGACGGGCATTTGTAATAAAAACGTCGACATAAGAAGAATGCGCAAAGAAGAAACAGCTAAAATTTCTGGGAGACATAATGAGGAAAGATGGCTTGAAGAATTAAACACTCACAGGGGGTACTGAAGGCAAGAGGTTTTGTTTGTAGATCAGGTTTAATTGATATATTTTTGTAAAGACGGTTTTTGTAGAGAGTCTGGTTTGGTTTGGTTTATTTTGTTTAACC